CCACAAAACCCCAAAACCCCAAAACCCCAAAACCCCTAGAAAATAGAGATATATTGAAGATATCTATTGAGCTGATCAAATCTATGAAATTTATGTTTTGAATGGCACATGTTTGAGTATTCTTCCTCTAGCAATCACTTTTGTATCTTTCAATGCTGAAACTAGTCCTAGAGAGGTCCCTCAATGATTTGCAGCGGGGACAGGTTCCTTTAGAGAGACAATTCAGACGAAAATATCGCCTGATTTTACCATCTTTATTGGTGACTTTTTGTAAACTCTTTCTGGGATTCCAGTTGGATTTTCACTAAATTATCAAAAAGATAGCATTACATATCATCTTTGTATCTGACTATTCCATCAAGAGATGCTATTGTAGCTTCATAATGAGCGGAATGAAGAAGTAGATCAAAGATAAACCCTTTAGTTACAATAGTCGCGTTTGAGAAAAGCTCGAACTCAACCATAAGCTTCTGTGACAGATTGACTCTTTCCTCCTCTATTGAAGTAATGATGGATCCTCTTCTGAGCGTGTCCATAGAAACTTTAGACTCTTCTTTATCTATATCATTATTAAAATAGTCAAACCTTCCTCACTACTGATGCTATCTGCACAATCAGAGTTTGCGTCTTCCTGATTTTCTCTGGCTAGTGAATAAGTGAAGCTAAGAGGGTCATCTTTAATATATGAAAGAGTGATATTTTCATTCGAAGGATACACTTTATAAGAAACTTTTGGATCAATAGTTCCTCTGGATAACCATTCGTAGCTGATTTTTCCTTGACATTCGCTAGTGACTGCCAAAATTGGGAATTTTGAGTCCTCACATTCTTTATGAGAAAGTATTCGAGATAGTATTTCCATAAGACATCCAAAATCTTCAGTTTTTCTTGTAAAGAGGTTAATACCTTCTTCTAGATTAACAGGGATGACTGAAATAGATGGAGGATATCCCAACTCTTGTTCTGATTTTGGTCTTAATGTTCGCATACAATCTCTGCAATTAGTTTCCAATTTCTGGAGTTCTCCTGCTTTAATCTCTTCAATATCATCCATGTGAAGCAGAAGAACTATTTGGTTTGATCTTAACCCTTGTATTGGTTCTAAAGATATCAGTAATTCATCCATACCTTTCAGGCTATCTCACAGATATCCTTGAACATCAGACTGATCTTTGATACTTTGATAATCCAATCAGTGTAGTAAAATATCTGAATTCGGTCTATTATGGGCTAACTTTTCTTCATATTTTTCATGTGTTGGACATATAATGCAGAATGTTTTGGATTGCTCCTAAGACAGAGAGTTATAAATTGGATGTTTAAAAGGAAGATGAGCTTACATTAGATTTAACTTCTTCTTTTATTACAGCATATGGTAAAGGAGTTGAAGGACCATCAATAATCTTTCCATGAATATCCTCATAAAGCCCTTTCATCATGCTAGTGAGGATGTCTGGGTAGGGATTTATGTTTTCTTCTGAAAGCTCATTCTCCTTATTTATCACAGATATTGGAATACAGAAATATTTCCTAATAATGTGATAGAAGAGAGCGTCCCTATGACCTTTAATCTCACCAGTGATTAGAACACTGTGAGTGTTCATATCTGCTATTTCTTGATATTTCAGGTCAAAATCTTGGGGAATAGTGTCGCTTTCAGCCTTATTTTCAATAATTGGTAGAAGCATTGCAGATTTATTTACGTGAAGTTACAACATCGCTGAACCATAGCTCTTTTGATCCCTTTAAGCTTCTCTTTTTGGTAAGTCTCGATTGCATTTTATTTAATTAGTTTTTAATGAATAGGTTAAAAGACTCTCCGAAGCATTGGGGTTTTGGGGTTTTGGGGTTTTGGGGTTTTGGGG